AGTTGGCAGGCCGTTACCAACCAAACTCTTTCCCACTTTTCGAAGATTTCACGAGATGAGTTTTTCTCTCTCTTGCTCTGGCACAGACAGACATACATGATATAAGTTCACAAAATGCACAACCTGGGGTAAGGATAGAGTCAGCGGTTTCAGGAAGCTTTCGATGTTGACGTGCAATTGCCTTGACACGTAGCAAAGGAAAGCTCAGAGCAAAGTTCAGAATATGAACACACGAAACACGAACAGCTTTGTTTACTTCCGTGAGTTGCGGAAATATATCAAGAACTATAAGGTGACTACATTTCAGAATAAGATAGTGATCGTGATTTGTCAATAAATTAATCACCACATAAATCACAAATTCATTCCGAGTTGATCCATTAAGGCCACACTTTTAATGTGACTTTAGCCATATCTCTGGATAAATTACAGGCATTTTAACCTCTCGGACTCAAAGCGACAACACCACTGCGATGAAAGCGACCCTTTGTTTCGCTGTTGAAATTAATTCAGCCTCGGACTGTTACGATTTACGCCAAAATTGCTTCGGCCATCCGAAGCAGGTAGTAACCACTCTTTATGAAGGTGGTTACAGGACATATATACAAATTTATGGAATCTTTTCGCGATAGTCTAATAGCACGCAGAGGATGGCATTGTTTGCGTTTGATAACGCTGGCTTAGCGCTTAAGATGACTTATGGAAAGCGAATGACAACGAAACATCCAGACCAGTCCTCGGCACCTATTTGTATGATGTGACACTATGACAGCTCATTGCTAAACGCATGTGGGAACTCGGTGTGCTGTGCTGAAACAAAACAACGACAGCGTCTCAATGCAATAAGCGCGCGGGAAGCGTGGGGTTGACCATGTTTCGCAGCATCGAATGAGAGCTTTCGAAGGGCACCGGCAGGTGGCGCTCGACCGAGGGCGCCCGTTTGAGTTGTGTAACCTCGTGAACGTATTCGCGAATACGTGCAGGCGGGGTCTAAAAAAACAGCATATAACGCAGACGCTGAAGTTTTCCGAAACGGCTCGTCCGATCGCCTTGAAACCTTCCCCGAACGATTCCGTGCAGTGAGGTGAGTCATGGAAAGGCAATATCAAGACCTCACCTGAGGTAAACACCTCGAAAACGCGAAGGGAAAATTTTGCGCACAAATGCAGGTAACTCAGATCTCAGAGCCTACTGGAGCGATCACCGTGGAGCCTTCATCGGATGCTCCACACCTGATTTCCCGTTGCCGTTCCAAATTTGGTTGCCCTAGTTCAGATTAGAAGTCGTCAAAGCTCACGAACTCCAACATTTTTGCTTGCAGAGTTGCAGAGATGCGCGCTTGTCGTTTGCAATAGCATGCCACCACGTCTCACCGGGCAGGTCGCGTCTAGCAGGCCAGGAGACACAGAGACAGCGTGCGAACTGTGCAGTGAGCTGACGACCGGACCCCGACAGCTCACACACGCTAATAACACCATTCAGCCCTGGAACAGGTTGGCCAATGGCTGAGGGTGATACTCCACCACCAGTGGCCACCATCTGGTGGTGGAGCTGGAAGTGTGAAGAGGGAATATTTATTTTTTATGCTGCTTTAGCTGTAAGTCTGTTCAGGGGCATCCTCAAAGTTATGAAGGTGACATATGCGCTCCAATCTAGTCTTTGAACGGCAACAACGCATTTTTAAAGGCTTTCAAAAGCCTTATTTCACGACGGCCGTTCTCGCGCGCACGGCGCCCACCGCCTGGGGTTGTACGCAGCGGCCAACAACGTTCGGTTTTACGGACATTTAAGCTCTGGCCATAGGTTTCTTGCTCCTAAGGCTGCGAGCTCAAAACTTTTAATCCTATTAGATTCGCAAATCGGATTTGCAAAAGGCTTGAGATTATCAACCAATATGATTTGGCCATTTCATTTTCATTTAATTTCTATCTGTTGTATTACAGGGAGTATGCCGCCTTTTAATTATTTTCACTTACTGCCGGCTGTCATTCTGGCGACACAGGGCCGGGCCTCCTGGTCGATCCAAACTTCCCTAAATATACATCAAACAGTGGACCCCTCTCTGGCGCGAGAAGTTCTCTAAACCAGTCGGTCGGCTCCAGATCGACGCAGGAGCTCTTAATGACGCGAAGAGACCTCGTATCGCCGAAGGCGTTCCATTAATTGGCACGGAGGCTCCAGTTCGACTTCACATGCCCGTGGCTGAAATGCGGCGGTCGGCGCTCGTTCGATGCTGGGGACCCTGACCGACACAGGACCCCTCCATGGCCTCATTATGGACTCTCATCTGAAATTTCCTTACCTTCTTTCATGGTCAGAGGATCCGACCAACGCATGCGTGGAAAACTGTATGTCTTTCATTGTTTTAGCCTCACTCATTAGGCAAAACAGCTCACAGTTGCTGATGTATCAAGTGCGCATCAGTCGTTGGAACCCAAGAAGTAGTAACATAGATTTGTCTATTTTTGCCTGGAGAGCAGACAATTCACGACCACGGTGAAAGGGGCGACTGCGTATGATACGTTTCAGCCTTGATGCGATTGTCATTAGTTTTTCACATATATGAAATATCAAGGTTTTTGTCCACTCCGTTTTTTCAAAGCTCTTCCAATATATATACTCTCTCTGTATGTAGGTCCGTGTGAATAATTCCGACTCAACATGTGACGCCACTGAAACGTTCGATGAAAATCGTATGCTGCAGTCAGCAGGTAATGCGGAAGTTAGGAAGAGATGGTGGACCTGATTTTTACAATGGTCTTTCTCGCCGTAGACATTTTGCTTCAGCAATTAGCGATATATCATGTTTTTATAGCACAGCTGAAACGCTGCACTGGTTTCAGGAACATGGATAGTGAGGAGAAATATGGGTCGTGAAATATGGGTAGTGAGGAAAAATATGGGTCGTGAAATATGGATAGTGAGAAAAATATGGATCACTTGAAATCTGTCATGCGGTAGTCATTCCGCATTGTTGTATCCACGTCAGTACAGCAAACATCCTGTAGATTATATAATATAACATAAGTGTAATATGTATATATATTGCTTTATTTACATATGAACATCGCATTCTTTATTAGCTTGCGACGCGTTCTACAGCTAAAAATGACTGCATCACCAGGCAAAAAAACATAGCATACAGTGTATAACATGATGGTTCAACACACGAACTGAACACCAACAAAATAAAAGTACCATACAAGTACATGCAACGGCACACGGCCAAGCTTCAATTCTGGGGACATATTTCATGTTATCACGTATTTTAATGGATGTGATGAAGAAGAAGATGTGAATATTTAGCACTGCACGTTTCTTAAGAAATGAAGAAACATTCTAAGATTCCTTAAATCAAGCGAGGAAAATGTTCTGCCCAAGATACTGGAGTTGGAAGCCAAAATTTCAGAGTTTCAGACAATCAAGAGTTTCACATGCAAATAAATGCACCCATATGGTGGACGGGCTATTTCAAGAAATTTTCCAGTCCAGATAGATTTACCTAAATTGTGCTGAATGTCAATGTGCAAGCTGATTTGTACATTTATTTGTATATTTAAGAGATATGCATTCCACAGGCAAAAGCCCAATTACGAAAGCGGTCCAGTTCTAAAAACAATAAATATACGATAGTTCCAGAGCGTAGCACTTATGTGGGATGCCTCACGAGGAACCACAAAACTCTTATACAACAGTCGATTGGCAGCATTTAAGTAACTATCGTTATATTTGAGAAAAACAGACTACTGACAAGGAACTGACCAGAATAATCCTAGGATCTAAAAATAGATAGAATTTCCATAGCAGGCTGATCAACTCACGTTTGAGGCTTCCAAAATCTGAGCCAAAGTACGGTTAAACAAAATGTTTTTTTTTTAGTTTCGGAACATCAAAAAGCCTGGAAGAGGAAAGATGCCTAGAAACAAACACTCGTCCAGGCCCTTTGGCGTTTCCTTTCCAGATCCAGGCCTCGAAAGCAGTTGGTGGTCGTGCTAACGAAAACATGGCATGGTAAACCTGCTGATAAATAGGAATCAGCCACTATCAGCCCAGCAGACCTTCCCCGCCCAAGCGTCCGAGGGAAGCCGCCACCTGTTTCCGGTGGCGCTGGGTGGCCGTTTCCCACGGCACTGCGCCCGAACAGCGCCGCACACAGTGCCGTGAGGCTGTCCGCTCTGCGAGCAGCGCAGCCAGACCTCTCGCTGACCTGTCGCCCTCCGTGCCCTGCGAGCAGCGCAGCCAGACCTCTCGCTGACCTGCAGCCCTCCGTGCCCTGCGGGCAGCGCAGCCAGACCTCTCGCTGACCTGTCGCCTTCCGTGCCCTGCGAAGCAGCGCAGCCAGACCTCTCCCTGACCTGTCGCCCTCCGTGCCCTGCGAGCAGCGCAGCCAGACCTCTCTCGTCGCCCTGCCACGCTCCGTTCGACCCGGCCATTCTCCGCCGCCATGCTGTGGACCGTGCACCTGTTTCTCTGCGTCGCCGTCGCCGTCGGTGCCGGTGCCGGTGTCGGTGGCAGCACCGCCGCCGCCGCTGCCGCCGCCTGCCCCTCCGCCGGCATCTGGCACCAGTTCGCCGAACATTGCTACTGGCCGTCGACGTTCGCGGCTCCCTGGTCCTCGATGGCGGCGGCCTGCGACACGCTGTTCTCCGGCTCAGCGCCAGCGTCGGTGCACAGCCTGCTGGAGAACTCGTTTCTCGTCAGCGTTCTGGGGCACGACCGCGTGTGGCTAGGTCTGAGGCGCGACCAGGACGCGGCCAAATTTACTTGGGTGGACGGGTCGCCGCTGGACTTCGTGTACTGGGCGGATGACGAGCCCAAGGACGGTAACTGCGCAGTCCTTAACCAGGTGGTCAAGACGGGCGAGTGGGGCGCAGAGCCCTGCGATGGGGACCACTTGTTCATTTGCAAGATCGCCGCATCGAGAATTGCCCCAGTCGCCGTTGAGAAGCTACCCATCCCGGAACGTGTTACCGATGTGCTTGGCATATAATGGTGCAAAATGCTCTGGCTTTTAATGGACACCTTGCGGCCCGATTACGCAAACAATCATGCAGAAAATTTAAAGTACTGTCAGGTCTACAACGTTTTATTCCACTGACTTTGCCGAAACATTATGACGTGGTCAAAAACCGACCTAGAAACGCGTCGAGGAGCGCTAGTTCTGCCCCTTTCGCCGTGCTGACCTCTTAAAACGAGGTCTCAAGTTACCGGAGCAGGAACTTCAAACATGTAGCCCACGTGTAAGAGGACAATACATTTAGGGGACAAAAATGTGTTTATTATGCGGTGAACCGTTGGAGCATATCACGCTTATTCCGGGTCCTGGCGTATGTTACATATTGATCTACTGTCCTCACGCCACGGCATTTTTGTACCAGAGGAGGGCAAGTCTTCTGCGTACTTTGCGAGATCTCCACATGACTCAGAAATCTGGCTGCGTCGTGTTTGCTTGTTGCGCTGTCACAAGGCTACCTGAGTCCGTTTCCTGGCGGCGGACTATTGCTTGCGTCGATAAAGCACCGACGGCAGGCGGGCAGCGCTTTGTTACACGTACGTCCTCAACTCCCTGCACTAGAGCACTGCATTCGCTCTGTGCACCCCGTACGGGGTGTACCTGCACCTGTACCTGTACCTGTGCCTGTACCTGTGCATGTACCTGTACCTGTTGTATCCTCCTTTCTCCCGTCTTCTATCATTTTAACCAGACTGTCCCACACGTCACGTGATGGACAATCTGGTCCTCTGGATATTACATCACGCCAATAGAAGCCCTCGGCTCAGTGCACGACTGCGCGCCACGTCTGTACCAACAACAAGCGACGTAGTTCGCGCGTCAAGAACTCGTTGAAGATGTCGACGCATTGCTCATCCACTTGTACATGACGCTGCAGGCGCGGTGCGGCAGGATCGACGTCACGTCCACGACCCGCTCCAGCGCCGAGCCGGCGTAGGGGATCTCACAGGCGAACGTGAAGCCGAGGCGCTCGTAGATGCGCCGCGTGGTGCTGGACGTGCAGAAGCAGAGCGAAACGGGCGCGCCAGAGCGCGCGGCGCACTCCACCGACGAGCGGCGACACAGCTCCGACGCCACGCCCAGGCCGCAGTACCTGCCGGCATGAGAGCGTGGAATAGCGCTGGGGCGGGTTCCTGCGACGGTGGCGCCACCGCCGGGACTCTGAACAACGCAGAGTTCCTGCGACGATGGCGCCACCGCCGGCACTCTGGACAACGAGGGTCCTGCAACAGTGGATCCACCGCCGAAACTCTGAACAACGCGTGAAAAAGCTTTACAGATTCTGTGGGCGATTTCATTTGTTTCGCTGTGAGCAAAGGCACCGATTTTAAGTATGCATTTAGCCAGTTTTGACATTGCCTTTTTTGCATCATTTGACACTTTGTCACGAGGAATATTTGAGGACAGATGATATCGTAGTGAAAAATGTGCTTTGATAATATAGCTCTTACATGTTGTTATTAGCCTGAGCAGGGTCCAAAATAGCCATATTATCCACAGTGCTTTAAGGGAAGTGAGACAGCATATGCAATAGCGTTTAGTAATGGTATTTTGGTAGTATAAGACCACTGATGAGTTTGCATCAATCCAGATGTCATATACCGGCCTTTTGGAAATGCAGTCCTCCAGGTGGCGCAAACAGTCTATAGCAGTGGCAGGAATTATTATTCTTGCTAAACTTCACCGCCGGATGCGTGGGGATGTGAACTCACGCTGGGCTGGGGGTGCTGTTGGGATGGGAGGAAACAGATGTCTGCGTGCCCCAGTTTACAGCCATTTCCTTCTATCAGGGATTTACTTGTTCAACGATCTGCAGCAATTTACTTGCGAGTGCGGTTTCACGATCTTTTCGTTCAGCAGGTGTAAGCCTTCGACTTTCGTATGCAACTTAAATTGTATGCATGTTTTCCTCGGGTGGCACAATGATCCTAATCCTGACCTGTGTAAGGCGGTCCTGCCCCCCCCCCCCTCCCCGCCCCCGGCAACCTAGCTGCTCACCTGGGATCAACAACAAGCAGCACATTCTCAAAGACCGTCGGCACGTTCAGGCTCTCGAAGGGGTCAAAGCGCTGGCCAATCTCGTCGGCGAAGCTGCAGTAGGCGCGGCCGGTCTCGCTCTTCGTCTCGGACAGCCGCCAGCAGGGCTCTTCCTCGTCGACGCCGTAAACAGCGCACATGCTGGCGCCGATGACGCAGCCGGTGCCGGCGTCCAGCGCCAGACAGCTGCCGTCCCAGTGCCACTCGGGGAGCGAGGCACTCAGCCAGGCACGGTGGTCCTCGGGCGCGCCACCCGCGAGGCCAGACAGCACCGAGAACTGACCGCAGGAGGAACTGGGTTTAGCCACGTGGTCAGATGATGTCTCTCTGATTGTCGCAACGTGGAATTGTGTCCCCTGTTATGTTCTCTGTACAATAACCGTGTGTTAATTTTTTTATATTTCAAATGTAATTTTCTGTTCAGGTTGACCTCCATATTCCAATTTGCCGTCATCCCTCACAATCCTGATCTGTGGGGGGGGGGGGGGGTGCTGTGTCTGCTATATGTATATGTGCATACACATGTCTGCAATAAGTGAGTGGTAGTCTGCATATAGGTTTGTCACTATATGCCTGTAACAGCAAGTGGGTTGTTAAACAGAGCCTTACCATGGGTTCACGTGAAAAGAAACAGTTGACCATCATGTCAATGGTCTCGTCCAATCTGTCCCTGCTCAGTTTCACATACTCTATCGCTGGCCGATCCACACCGCTTGACAGTAAGAACGACATCCTGACTTGGAGCGCTGAAAGAAACGTAGAACACTGGTGGCGACAATGACAAATAGCGACCTTCTCCGGCAATCAAGGCGCCAATGGACCTTTTTTGTCATCAGTATAACTCAAATCTGTCACTAAAGCAAAGCTTCTTATGTCATATTCACGAGGTGTGGTATGTGAATGTCTCGGATCAAGTGGCCTGGAGGCTGTGTTCATGGAGCCCATCCGCGCGGGACAAACAGCATTGGTGCATTGCAGAAACGAGACACTTTTTACGTTTGTATTTGATGCGCATTGCTCTAGATTTGTTAAATTTTCACCGCGCACGCTGCACGAGAAACCGTTTGCCTCGCAGACGTCCTGGGGGCGTCAAAAACACCACCCTCCGATACAAAGGAAAGGTAATCAAAATGTATCAGGCAGACTTACAAAATTGTCAACACCTTTCAAGTGATCAGATCAACATAGTGTGAAATAGAGCAACTGTGGTTAGGTCGGATCATTGATCTTTCAAGTCATAAGCAAAGATTTGCGCGATGATTTTTAATTCCACATATCTAAATTTCCGGTTTCTGTTCCTACAGTCAATTATTTTGGTGCATTTTCACCAATTGGCTGGACTTTCTGACAACAAGGGTCGGCTATACCACACGAAGTTACATCCAACTGTCATAAAAGGTTATATGAGGCCGGCTTAGTGTTGGAACAACAAGGATTTCTGAGAGAGAAATCAATGCGTTCCTATGGAACAGAATGCAAATGTTGGAGTTCTCATGGATTTGCATGGTGGCGCTCGTGTATCAAATGTCGTGCTAAGCCACAAGCTCTTGGTTATTACAAGCCGGCTTAGGAAATAGGGAAAATCGTTCTTAAGCGTCGTCATCAGCTAAACGTTTCGGAAACGGCAGTATCCTATTGGTCAATATGTATATGCAGTAGCGACAAGGAGCCAGTCAGAAAGTTCGCTACACATCTAAGTTTTCATAACCACCACCAATGAAAACCCACTGGACTAGCGAGTGGTTTGCCCTGCCCGGGGTGCATGCAGTGCTCAAACTCACGGAGCGTAACATGTTTTTCATGTTGTTGTTTATGCACAAATGTAGTACAGACCTGCGCAAAAATTGCCTGTTTCATCAATAGTTCGGTCACAATGACTACGCGTCTTTTTGGTAAAGGCAGCAACTGTTCCAATGTTTGTTATGCAATACATGCACGCTGGATGTTATTGAATGCAAATTGCATGTTAAATTTCCGCTCAATGATAGAGCAAGCTCTGCACCCAAGCAGGGACTGTCGAGCTGAACGGACCCAGCGACATTGTTTGCATGGGGCGCTGCTGCCGTGCATTATTACCAAAGTCCGGCACGTGTCCCGACGCGCCATCCCTCCCCCCTCACCCCCACCCACACGCGGAGCAGCTTACCTTTGGCGAGCGTCGCGACGACGAGAGAGGCCCGCCTCACGCGCAGCAGGTTCTGTGGACGGACTCATCGATTGGCCAGCCAGGCGGGGCGGCGAGGCGGCCCGCTGCGCTGCTCCAGAGTCGCATGGCTCGGCCAGCGGCGGCTCCAGTGCACCAGTGCAGGGGGGAGGGACACTAGCAGCATGGCTCGGCCAGCGGCGGCTCCAGAGCACCAGTCCAGAAGGGGGGGGGGGGCAGTGGATTCGGAAAATTCGAAATTGCGCTGCTCGCTGAGTCTTAATTTGAACACCGGTCAATGACGTCAGCCAGTTGTTTCCTGCTTCAACGCGCCGGTGCAGGGCGCGACTCCGCTGCCAGGAGCGTCCGCTTTTCTGCTTATCTGCACTATCTCGGCCAAGTCGAGGTATCAGCGTTACGAGTGGACTCATGCGTTGATTGTCAAGTGATCAGTCATCAGTGCTGCGATAAAACCCACGTGATCATTAATATTGTGGGTGGATTCAAATGTCAAAGAATTTAAAATCGACCGCATGTAAAAATCACAATCTTGGTTGTGCTTGCTTGACTTCAGTGTTCACACATCTGTGAAGAACCTCGCATTGCATCGTGCACTTTCATGTTAAGTCAATGATATGCCAGCTGAACAGTTTATGGCTGCTAATTCAATGTTACACCCTTGACGAAAAGTCTTTCTGACGCAGGGAGTTTGGAGCCTTGGATTCAAATGACTGTTAAAGGGAGTATTTCACATTTTTTGTGGGGTTTTGAACTGAAATAATCATCTTGAAGATCATTTGGTACATTTCACAGCCCTACCCCCGTTAAGACCAAAGACCCCCTAGTTTCCGAGCTGCACGCCCACAAAGATGAGGATATTTTTTGGGAGAGCATTTCAAGGTCATCTTGGCATTTAGGACGTCATGATAGCATCATTCATGTCCCGTCATTTATGAATCATGCATCGATCAGGGCCAATACAAATATATTGGTCGATTCGTTCATATCTGGCATTCGTGAACACGATTTCCAGACATAGCGGCCGTCAATTGACTCCCAATCAACGCTGTGCAGGGTAGGGTGACGTAATCAAGCAATGACAATCGACAAGCATACTTACTAAGCAAAGAAATTGTGTTGTCTGTCAAGAAAATGTTCCATATTTGAAGAGAATGGGGCAGGCATCAGCTCTGATGAAGGAAACTCACTTATAACTCTTGGTATACTATGAAGGGAAAGGGCTGCTCTAGACAACGAAACTTATCTGTTTATAAAATGTCCTCATCAATACATGGACGCGTCATGTATTGATGACCATATTTTCAGTGCGTCATGACACCTTTGCATGAAAGCACTCCTTTGTAGTTCTTTCATCTCCCGGGAAGTTGCCCGCAGCGGTGTTAGGCGTGTGATGGACCAAGTATCGTTAGGTACTCCTGTTTTTACACTTTTTGTGGCGTTTTTCATATTCATTCGCCAGTTTAAAGTGCTCACTTGTATTCACATATTCAGCTATAGCGCCATTCGAAATTTATTCGACTACATGTCTTATTTACCTAACAGCTGCGAAGAATGTTTTACCTCCTGTATCATGTGGCACGAAACGTAATTCATGTAAGAATGTCGCAAACCTTGCACAACATTGTTTTAGGGCCAACAGACGGCCGTCATGTCTGGAAACTGTGCTTACGAACGCCTGATATGAACAACTCGACAATACGCTTTTTTACCTTGCAGAGCGGAGGCAATTATGGTGCAGCGCTTAGAAAGATGATCCTTAGGCTTACATGTACGCCGCATTCGTATGAGTCTATAATACTGCGGCATGGCTTCCCGCTTGCAACGTAACACTGCTGACGACGGCATGTATTTTATTTTGTTGACCATCTTCTAAATCATCTCTTAATGGTGGCCAACCGGTCAGAGCGTGGATTTTTCAGTGTGAGCGCCATTACTTTAAACACTGCTCGTCGCGCGTTGCGTCAGCTAGGCACCGTAACAGCGTTGCCGGCCAACAGCACCTATCTCATTCATACGAAGCATTTCATCACGCCTTGTTCTGAGCTTGTAGGTTAGAAAGGCGATCTTGGACGGGGGGTGGTGTTATCTTCAGACGCGTCACGATAACGCCGGTATCAGTTGAGGTGCCACCCGGGCTCGAGGCGTTCGCTCTGGTGTGGGGCTCCAGCGTGCCCGACCTCGCTGGTTGCATAGATCAGAGCCCTTTTGATCAGAAAGGATCATTTCGGGGCTATGGAATGAAGGAAAGTGGACGACGACAAGGCAGGACTACGTGCACCTGGAGGGCCAACCGCTGAGCCTTAGCCCGCTCAGGGACCCTATGCGGGGTGTGCTGCTGAGCGCCCGGTCGGGGTCCCTCTCCAGGGGGCCTCTCGGCCCACTCGTGGCTGGCGCATGCAGCCTATCCCGGACAGGTGGGGCTTCGCGAGGACTCAGAATAAAGCAAGAAGGGGATGGGAGGTTCGCATGGGACCTCATTGACCACGCAGGGCCCTTTTGTATGCCTGCCCCGGTCGGACGGTGACCACACAGGGCCCTTTTGTACGCCTGCCCCGGTCGGACGGTGACCACACAGGGCCCTTTTGTATGCCTGCCCGGTCGGACGGTGACCACGCAGGGCCCTTTTGTATGCCTGCCCCGGTCGGACGGTGACCACACAGGGCCCTGTTGTACGCCTGCCCCGGTCGGACGGTGACCACGCAGGGCCCTTTTGTATGCCTGCCCCGGTCGGACGGTGACCACACAGGGCCCTTTTGTATGCCTGCCCCGGTCGGACGGTGACCACACAGGGCCCTTTTGTACGCCTGCCCCGGTCGGACCCTGACCACACAGGGCCCTTTTGTATGCCTGCCCCGGTCGGACGGTGACACACAGGGCCCTTTTGTATGCCTGCCCTGGTCGGACGGTGACCACGCAGGGCCCTTTGTATGCCTGCCCCGGTCGGACGGGTGACCACACAGGGCCCTTTTGTATGCCTGCCCCGGTCGGGCCCTGACCACACAGGGCCCTTTTGTATGCCTGCCCCGGTCGGACGGTGACCACGCAGGGCCCTTTTGTATGCCTGCCCCGGTCGGACGGTGACCACACAGGGCCCTGTTGTACGCCTGCCCCGGTCGGACGGTGACCACACAGGGCCCTTTTGTATGCCTGCCCCGGTCGGACGGTGACCACACAGGGCCCTGTTGTACGCCTGCCCCGGTCGGACGGTGACCACACAGGGCCCTTTTGTATGCCTGCCCCGGTCGGACGGTGACCACACAGGGCCCTTTTGTACGCCTGCCCCGGTCGGACAGTGACCACCAGGGCCCTTTTGTACGCCTGCCCCGGTCGGACCCTGACCCTGCACTGCGCTGTCTGCGGGTTGGCTGGCTGGCTGACATACCCGCTGGTTGACCCTGCACTGCGCTGTCGCCGTCCGGGCGCACAGCAGGCATAATGGCGGCCCAGTCGTATCGACGCGTGGCAGGTTTTACCTTCCTTACCGCGTCTGGCACGGCTACACTTCACACCACTCAAGGGGAGTTTTTTGTTCGTCTTCAGGCTAACGCTCAGCCCATACGCTCAAAACACTTTGTTATGCTGAGGAGCCTATTCACATAAAGCCAGACGTCGATGTCCGGCGTTAAGTACATAAACATTTGCACAGTTAAACCAAGCGAGTGTTTAAGACGGGAGGACATCAGATGCATATACGAACATACGGTACTAATGCCATACTATTGACTGTGCATTACCGCATACTAGTTTCCGGACTAGCGCATGGCAGCTGATAGCGTTTTGAGAAAGTTATACTCGCCTGCAGATGTTGCGATCTTGTGTAATGATTTGATTTTTAAAATTCTTAAAATCGATAACAATTATAAAAATTAACAGCGCTGAGACAGTGCTACCTCCTGGGATTGTAATACCTTTTCATCCTTGGGCACCCACTGTATTGGATGCCCCAGACCGCCATTCAGGCCTGTCTTAACCACAAGAGCGTGGATTTGAGGACAACAATCCTGCAGTCATTTATAAACGCACATTATCACGCTCCGAGGACGCGTCCGTCCGAGTGCATTGGATGACACTGTGGAACACGGCCTTCTGACCGACGTGTCTACTGAATCACGCGCTGACAACGCATCACTGAATGGGTGCTGGCCGACCTGGGGCGTGGCGGCAAACATCGGCAGCGTGTATGAAATACCCATAGTCACGCCCTGAGAGTGCAACTGTACAACCGCGCATGTTGGATAACAATGAGGGGGCTATCAGATTGAACTGTAACGTCGCTGTCTACCTACAGTACCCCGTCTATTGGACTGAAAAGCGGACCTGGCACAGCTTTGTTCTAGAGAACTGGCAGATGAATTGGCTTGCAAAATTACTGCAGTCATTTCAAAGTCCTTACTGTTGTTCTCGGAGGATGGGTCCGTGAGGATTTGGTTGCAGTGTGCCAGGGCTATCGAATGGCACCGTAACACCATCATCGGGCGACGCCACCTAGTGTATACATAGTGCCCCTGACAGCGCATCACTGGAGGCCGTCAGCGGACCTACAGCGTTATCAGCCGACGGCACCTAGTGTATTCATAGTGCCCCTGACAGCGCATCACTGGAGGCCGTCAGCGGACCTACAGCGTCATCAGGCGACGGCACCTAGTGTATTCATAATGCCCCTGACAGCGCATCACTGGAGGCCGTCAGCGGACCTACAGCATCGCGAGCAGCATACGGGAGCGTTTTATAAATATTTATAACCACACGCGTATGGTGGGACCGCGTGCCCTTGATAACACTGTGAGCAGGCTTATCAGCGGACAACCCAACGTCTTTATCTGCCTTTGTTTAAAAATCTGACTGAAGTACTCTTACTGCAGCGCTGACAGTCCTTAGATGAGTGAAAATTCGGGACAGCCAAGGACATGAACGCATTAGGTCGTCCCACATCACCAACAAAAAGCACGTCACGATATCCTGTAAATAACGAATCCGAATAATTCGCGCTGCCATACTGTGGCAACCCGTTTAGCCAACCAAGCATATATCTTAACGATTGGCCATGGCGCCAAAGACCGTT